ACTTTTTTGGAGCGCGTCTCGGACCACTAGCCGACCCCCTATCGAGATGGGGCACGGGCCTCCACTCAGACTTACCCGATAAAAGCTCACCGGAAATGTCATCGTCTTTCGCGCCCGAGAGGTAGCTGGCATGTTCCACCTCCTTCCGAGCGAAAAGGAAGCGAGGGTCGTACAAAAAGCCAGGGGAACTCCTAATCGCCCTCTCGCTACGTGCGGAGGCTCAGGGGCTCTTCCTGCAACCTTGCTGAGACCTAGCGGCCTAGGCTCGCACGCGAAGGGCTCGGCAAAACAACCCCTCCTTCCGAGCGAAAAGGATGCGCGAGGGTCGTACAAAAAGCCAGGAGAACTCCCGATCGCCCTCTCGCTACGTGCGGAGGCTCAGGGGCTCTTCCTGCAACCTTGCCGAGACCCAGCGGCCTCGGCTTGCACGCGAAGGGCTCGGCAAACAACCCCTCCTTCCGAGCGAAAAGGATGCGCGAGGGTCGCAAAAAAAGCTAGGGAAACTCCTGATCGCCCTCTCGCTATGGGCGGAGGCTCGGGGGCTCTTCCTGCAACCTTGCCGAGACCCAGCGGCCTAGGCTCGCGCGCGAAGGGCTCGGCAAATAACCCCTCCTTCCGAGCGAAAAGGATGCGTGAGGGTCGCACAAAAAGCCAGGGGAACTCCTGATCGCCCTCTCGCTCCGCGCGGAGGCTCGGGGGCTCTTCCTGCAACCTTGCCGAGACCCAGCGGCCTAGGCTTGCGCGCGAAGGGCTCGGCAAACAACCCCTCCTTCCGAGCGAAAAGGATGCGCGAGGGTCGCACAAAAAGCCAGGGGAACTCCTGATCGCCCTCTCACTCCGCGTGGAGGCTCGGGGGCTCTTCCTGCAACCTCTCACACCCCGAGGGTCAGAAAAACACGACGAAAAAGGGCACCAAGCCCATTACGGTCCAGAGGTTCGAAGGCTGGGCCATTATGGTCTCGACAGCCGCCTCAGGACGACAGAGTCAGGGACAACTATGGGCGAGGCCGCACATGGCCGAGGCCCAGACAAGCGATTGCTTGGGATGCCCTAAGTCGTGTCCGAGACCAGCAGGAGTTCTCTAAAGGGATCCCATCAGGGAGGCACCGAGCCCCTAGGGCCAATCGAACGCCACAGCACCCGCTAGAGAAGCCTTCGGTACTTTTTTTGGAGCGTCTCTGGACCACTAGCCGACCCCTATCGAATGGGGCACGGGCCTCCACTCGGACTTACCCGATAAAAGCTCACCGGAAATGTCACCGCTCGCGCCCACCGAGGGTAGCCTGGCATGTTCCACCCCTCCTTCCGAGCGAAAAGGATGCGCGAGGGTCGCACAAAAAGCCAGGGGAACTCCTGATCGCCCTCTCGCTATGGGCGGAGGCTCGGGGGCTCTTCCTGCAACCTTGCGGAGACCCAGCGGCCTAGGCTCGCACGCGAAGGGCTCGGCAAACAACCCCTCCTTCCGAGCGAAAAGGATGCGCGAGGGTCGTACAAAAAGCCAGGGGAACTCCTGATCGCCCTCTCGCCACGTGCGGAGGCTCGGGGGCTCTTCCTGCAAACCTTGCCGAGACCCAGCGGCCTAAGCTCGCACACGAAGGGCTCGGCAAACAACCCCTCCTTCCGAACGAAAAGGATGCGCGAGGGTCGTACAAAAAGCCAGGAGAACTCCTGACCGCCCTCTCGCTCCGTGCGGAGGCTCGGGGGCTCTTCCTGCAAACCTTGCCGAGACCCAGCGACCTAGGATCGCACGCGAGGGCTCGGCAGGCTCGGGTGCTCCTCCTGCACCCCAAACAAGCGACCCGAGCTCGCTCTCATGGGTCAAGCAAATGCGATAGAGCGCCTTACTCAACGAAGAAAAAGCCCCTAAAGGAGTAAACTCACTCCTCTAGGGTCTCGGGGGCTACACCCGGCGGGTGTGCTCGCGCGCACCCACCGGAATCGTGAGTATAAAACGAACCCGACAAGAGCCACTGAGAAACAAAAGTCTCGAAAAAACCTCGGGGAGAGTATCCCACACTCCCGCCCGAGGCTCGGGGGCTACTGTCGGATACCCGAAAATAGGGTACCCCAAGCAAAGGTCGAAAAAACTACTTAGACTCTAAGAACAGAACCAACGGAATAAACGAACGAGGTCTCGGACGAAATCTCCGATTCACCCGAGACCCCGTCGCCGAGTAATTTGAAGATTTTTAGTAATTTGAAGATTTTTAGTTTCTTCATTTTATTAGGTCGAAGTAGTTTTCTTTGGTACTTATATCAGAACGTTTAGTGTCTTGGTTTTACATGTTTCATTGTTGGGATATTTGCTATCGATTTGTAATAACTGTGGTCCGATTCATTAATTTAATGATGCCTGAACCCGGAAATCCTCCGCTATCCAAAAAAAATGATTAATCTAATGATAAACACATGATGCCAATCAACAAAATCAAAGGAAAAAAAACATTGTTAGTCATATTAGATATATGTTATCTTTCAACAGGTCCCGTTCGTTGGTCTGAATTTTGGCTGAAACTAGCTGAAAAATACTATTCCGGCTGAATTGTTGCGAGAGAAAAACACTGTTCCAGCTGAAAAAATAAGTCAAACAAGTCAAATTTAAGACAAGCGAACGGGCCTATGTCAAATTTAAGACAAACAAATCAAAGGAAAAAAAGATTCCGTTCCGTCACACGCCCTCGCTAGCGGGAGATGCGGCACGGGATATTCGAGGCGACCTGGGAAACATTCCCGCTGCCATGGAATTGCTACCCAACCTGGCAGGTGGCCGGTGCAAGTGCCTGTTAGTAGTATACGAGATCGTATATCTTTTGATAAAGAACCGTGTACAAGTTTGTATATTCGTTGGGTTGGCAAATATTCGCTCTATAACAGCCACCAACGTATTGACATGATTTGGCTAATTTTCTTCTTGATTAGGCTAATTTTCTTCTTTTCCTTCTTTGTTTCCTGAATCCTGTACTCTTGGCTTTGCTTAGCTTTGTTCTGTAATGTCTTTAATTTTAAATCAATTCTTGCCTCCAGTTTCGTCAAAAAAAAGAAGAAAAAACGTATTGACATGATTTTACCCTTTTTTTCCTTGGAAACTTTGACCCTATCATCCTTTGCTGGCTAGAAACTTACCTCGATGAAAGAACTATCGATAACCGACAACAGCTCGTGATTGCCATGTGATGTTGGTGTAGGAGTTTGAACTTTGAAGCATGCACCATCCCCCACCCCCCCTAAACTTGAAAACCATACATTATACACTCAAAATCAAACAAATTTCGCACTGTAGTAGTTCAAAGTGGGTTTCAAGGGTGGCCGGAGATCCACGAGCAGTGGCAATAGCAAAGGGAGGGCACCCCACGGCTTCCTTGTGTCCGCTATAGTGGGATCAATAGCGGCCTCTATAGTGGAATCAATATCAATAGCACATGAAAGTGCTTGCCATGGCTCTTTATTTTCGACACGAGATTTACGACATTGTGAGCAAGGTTAGTGGGGATGTTAGAGTGCGAGCAGAGCTCCGCCCGCTATACCCACAAGTTGGTACCGGAGCTCAAAACATAGGCTCGAGCCTAACTCCGCCCAAAAGGCTACCATGATAGTGCCTCACCTTATATGTTTTGCTCCTCCAACATCAATTATCAATGTGGGACAAAACCTAACGTGAGACCACATGGATGATGAGGACAGCCAAATTTGGGTAGTAGTGGGAGAGAGAGGGGGAGAGGAAGATCTAGGGATACATGTAGAGAGGGAAGGATGCTTGCATATAGGACCCACATGCCACATCCAAGGACTACCTGGAAAGTTACTTTTAATATTGCGAGGGGATTAAATTGTTCGGTTTTTAGTTGACGTCGTATGATGTAAGGATTTTAGAGTTGGGGTCGTATGATGTAATATAAGGTTTTTACCAAAACCACATTAACGACCACTTTGAAATGGGTAATTTATATGCATGGTTTTGAAAGTTGGGGTGGGGTATTTATAATAGTTCTTGGAGTTTCCAAACTTTGTGTCTAGTTTAGGGTGACAAATGAACTTTACTCATTTTGATTTAAGTTTTATCTAGTCTACAGGAAGATATAACACCGAATTGTTCCACTAGTATGGTCCTGTTCGCTTGTCTTATAATCCGTACTTTTCAGCTTGTTTTTTCAGCCGAAAAAGTATTTTTCTCTCACAACAAATCAGCCGGAAACAATGTTTCGGCTTGTTTTTTCAGCGAAGCAAACGGGGCCATATATTTGTTTGTTGTTGCAAAATTGTTTCCCATGAAAATATTGCTATGTTTTTCAGTTAATTTAAATAAACTTAAGATAAATCTAAAATACCTTTAATTTTGAAGAGGGGAAAACACCGGCAGAATCTGGGACAACAATAACACCAAAAGGAACATATGAAATGAACTTTAATATTTACATGACATACAGATGCACGATTTCATTTCTAGCTAACCAATTCAGTCCAAGGCCTGTTCGCTTGAACTTATCAGCCGGCTTATCAGCTAAAATCTACAGTGTTTTTCTCTCACAACAAAACAGCTTCAGCCGATTTATCAGCCGGCTTCAATACCAGCCAAACATGTCGGATCAAAGGAAGTTAACTACAACATACAATGAGGTCTGCAGGGTGCATATCACTACTATTTTTTTTGGTAACTTATTCTTTTATCTTACTCACAAAAACAGAGGGCAAAATGCTGGATATATATATACAGCAATAGTAAAAAGCTAGCACGAAGAAGGAACTCTCAGGTTTACGTGTCTATGTACCACTGGACGTAAGCTAAACCTTGTTCGCTGAGCTTATCAGTTATGACACACAGTATTTTTCTTTCGCAGCCGGTCGGACTTATCAGCCCAAAACAAAGAGCCAACGGGTTGAAAATGTGAAGCATAGTTGGCGATCGAGGCCGGCGTTCATTACGCAGAGGTGGTCTGCGACGACGACGACACGGCCGGCGAGCCAGAGCAGGCGTCCCCCCGCTGCGCCGCCCGCTGGAGCAGCTACTCGACTGCCTCTGCGGACGCGGCGGTTGCAATCCGGGCGTCAACGCCGTCGTCGCCACCGGAGCGTACACCTAGTTGGCGGTTGTCGTCGTCGTTCCTGACGCGTCGCCAGGTAGGTCGTGCACCTGCTGCGGCTGTGCCGCTGCCGCCGCCACCGCAGCAGCGGCGGCAGCAGCCGCCGCGGCAGCTTACTCCGGCGGTGGCACCCAGATGCCTCCCACCACGACGAACTGCGGTGCGGCCGGCGGCGTGACGCTGGTGCCGCTGCTCTGGACCGCGACCGCCGTCGAGTTCGGACGCCTCGTGTGCAGACGGTACTTCTGAAGTCCCAACAAGTTCAAAATGAAGGGCAGAGTGAGAAGAGAACAGATGGTACTATGAACTGCAAATACACTCTTTTTTGAGGCAGCTACTGACCTGCAAATGGCTTTTGACCTCATCGTTGGTGAGACCGTCGACCTTCATGAGCTCCCGGATCTGCTTCGGCGTCGCCGCTGCATATATGAGCATCCATTATTAACAATTTAACTCACATTAGTTAGATTGTTAATTATTATTTCAGAGACTAATTGTACACGATTTTGAAGTGTTGGTGATGAGGTGGTAGGATAAGGGAGAGCAACTAACCGTGGGACCCGCCGAGCTGCTGCAGCGCCTGCAGGAACCGGCGGTGGAGCTCCGGCGCCCAGCACCGCCGCGGCTTCCGGCCGGGCGCCTGCGACGCCGACTGCGCCTCCTTGTCCTTGCCGCCGCCTTTGATTCTCGCCTTATTAGTATTCCCCGCCGTGTCGTTGTCGGTGGCGCCGCCGGCCCGGTCACAGCTGTCCCCGACCACGGCCGAGCTCGCCGCAGCCGTGGCCGACGACGAGGCCGGCAGCGGCATCTGGGTGCGCTGCTTCGGCTTCTTCTTCTTGTCTTTGTCCTTCTCGAACGGCTGGAACGCGCCCCCGGGCTTCCGGCAGGCACTGAGCGCCACCGGCCTGCACGGCAGCAGCAGCTCATCCTGGTGGGGCTGCGGCGGGGAGGGTTGTTGTTGCTGTTGGTTACTCCAGAGCTGGACGGACTGCAGCCAGTCCGGCATGGCCTTCTTGGTCTCCGGCTGTGGCAACCGCCGCCTGCCGCTGCTGGCTCTGGCCGCTGCCGTCTCCGGATGATCTCCCGGCGCCGCCTCGTCGCTATTGTCGGCATCGACGCCGTCGTCGGCCGTGCCGGCAGCGCGTTGGTGGTGGGAACTGTCGTGCTCTTCGTCGTCGTCCTCGGAAGAGGAGGACGAGAGGGTGGGCTTGAGCGGCATGAACTCCTCCAGCACGGGCCCGCCGTGGTCGCTGACCGTCTCCTCGCTGCCGCCAACGACGCTGTCCATGTGGCTCCTCATCCCCTCGATAGCTGCACAGCACACACGTACGTAGAGATCTTATGGAAGGAATGGCCGACGGCGCAGCAGAAGAAGCTTGAGACGAGACGACGGCGTCGCGGAGGCGGAGCGAGAGAGCTGGCGCGCGCGTGGGCTGCTACGTTAGTGAGCGAGTCAGAGTGAGACAGAGAGCGCACTCACTCTGCGTGACGAGGTCGAGGCAGAGCGGCAGCTCGCGCTGGAACACCTGGATCTTGCGTCGCTCCTCCTCCAGCGCGAGCAGGTACTCGAGGCAGCGGCGGCGGCGGTCGGCGTGCAGGGGCGGCGGCGGGTCCATCTCCATGCTCCGTCCTGCGCTGTGCCGGTGCTAGAGCACTGACTGTTGTGCGGCGGGCCGTGGGAGAGTCGGAGAGCCCGGAGAGGTAGAAGACGAGAGGCGTGGGAAGGGAGGGGAAAAGCAATGGGGAATCGAGGTCGAGGCGTCGCGTAGGAGGCGAATCTCTCACGCGCGTTGGATGACAGGAAGACAGAAAAGGGGTGGCCCAGTTCCGCTGCCGCTACGCGGGCGGGGGCCCTGGCCCAACGCCCCAACGCCCCAGCGGGATAAGACCAGGCGCGGATCATTGCGGAATCTACCCCCGGGGCCCACCGGCAGCTGTGGCACCGGCACCAGCACCAGCACCACGGTCTCACGTCCCAACTCTGGAGTGGAGCGCCCAACCAGACAACGATGCAAGGGAAGAAGATTCCGGAGAAATCCCCTTCCCTCTCCTAGTCTATTTCTAGGGGTGTTCGAATCACGTGACTAAAATTTAGAAGACGTCATATAAGGATGTCGTATAGGGTGTTTGAATGTTAATAAAAAAATAAATTATAGAATCCGTCAGTACTCCACGAGACGAATTTATTAAGCCTAATTAATCCGTCATCAGCACATGTTTACTGTAGCACCGCATTGTTAAATCATGGACTAATTAGGCTTAAAAGATTCGTCTCACAAATTCGTCGCAAACTATGGGTGTGTTTGGTTGAGCTGTGGCTGTGGGAAAAAGCTGCTGTGGGCTGTGAGCTGTGGAAAAGCTGCTGTGGGCTGTGAGCTGTAGAAAAGCTGAAAGCTGTTTGGTTAAACAAGTATAAAATATACCTTTTATCTTTATCTCTCTTAAAACAACTATGGAAGAGCTTTTTATTCCACCAATTTCGAAAAGCAGAAAGCCAAAAGCCAAAAGCAGGGTCAACCCAGCTTTCAAAAATGAACTATGGAAAAGCAGCTGCTTCTGAAAAAGCACCCTCCAAAAACAGCCCCTTTGGTTGAGCTTTTAGCTTTTGGGGCCAAAAGCCAAAGCCAAAAACCCAACCAAACAGGGCATATGCAATTAGTTTCGTAATTAGTCTATATTTAATACTTCATGCATGTGTCCAAATATCCGATGGGACAACGACTAAAGTTTAGAAGGAGGAACCAAACACCCCCTTACTCTCCCTCCCCCCCCCCAAGTACTTGAATACATTATGTTAGTTTGGGGTGGCCCAATTTTATTTCAATAATACGAAATAAAATCCATGTCCATATTTAGAGCTAGCTGCAATAAATGATAACCCCCCATTAAAAATTGACCAATGCTTCATTTTATATATATCTCTACTATAATGGACTAATCAAAATTATACTAGGCCCCCCCAGAAAAAAGTCCCCTGTTGAGAGCCTCAAATCATTGTGCGCCCAGAAAAATACACACAGTAATTCATCTGCATTAAAATCAAGGGCTAATAAGACACCTAAACCAAATCCGATGACCACGATTTGATGTGGGATGCCAGGCTTCTCACCCCCGCGCCCTCCTCGCACGCCGCACACCGCGACTGCGATTTAACGCTCGAACCCAATCATCACCGAATAAAAAAACACGTTCAAAACCTTCTGGGCCGCCGCCGCGCCGTTCGACGTTGAAACATTCCGATCGCCTGTGCCCACGCCCACACCCTTCGTGGAAAGGAGGAGGAAGCCGCGGTGCCTGTACGCGCACACGCCCTTCGCGGAGGGGAGGAGGAAGCCGCAGCGCGGGGTAGCCGCCGGCCTCCGGGGAGGCGTCGTCGTCTTCGGCCGCGGCAGCACGGGAAGCTTCTGCTGCCGCCGCCGTCGCGTGCGCCCCGACGGTCGCGCCTCCGCCGATAGCTGCTGCCTGGTCACGCAGGCGGGCGCAGAGCCGCGGGGCCACACGTACAAGCGCAGGCCGCACAGGCGCAAGGTCACGTAGGCGTGCGTGGAGGCGACGGGGCTGCGGCGGCACTCGAGGACGCGCGAAGACACGAAGGCATGCGGGGGCCAGGACTGCGGGGCCGCAAGATGGCAGGACTCGCGGGACGCACGATTCTCTAGGCCCCAGGACGGCAGGACTCGCCGCCCTCGACGCCCTGCTCCAGGACTCACGGCGGTGGCCCTCGCCAGGCCACGTGGAGCTGCGCTCGACGCCCTACCCTAGGCCGCACGACGGCGGCCCTCGCCAGGCTGCCCGGAGTCGAGCTCGAAGCCCTGACCCAGGCCGCGCGGCGGCGGTCCTCACCAAATTGCTTGGAGCCACACTCGCCGCCCCGCCCCGTGCTACGCGGCGGTGCCCACGACCTCAGTGGATCTTTGTGCTCTGCCACCTGCAGGTTCTTCCCTCTCCCTTCCCTGAGCCCCTTCTGATTCATAATCCAATATTGGTTCCTAATCCAATAGGCTTTGTGTTCTGCCATGGATTTGTACTACCTAAAGATGTTGGAAAGCATCCTTTTTTAAGCCCTGAAGATGTTCGACAAATGGCAGAGTCGCACTCATGGTCAAGCAATGCATCTGCACCAAGGTACTTGGCAACAACAGAATTCTTTGATTCTTGTCAATTTCAGGTGTCGTCACCAGGGAATTAGTTACAATCTAATTTGCATTTCTAGGATGCTTCTTAAGGTCAGTATACCCATGCATCAGTACATCAAATATATTGAATATAACGAATTTTGGAAAATCAGAGGTATAGCTATGACGGGACCCTATCAACAGCAGAGAGGATTATCATATTTCGTCACTTCCATGTTTCTGTCATAGGTTGTCAATCATTAGACTACGAATTTGATAATGATGAGTTTCATGCAACTGTTCATGGTACCATGCCATATCACAATCTGAGGCCTGACCCTGTTTTGAGGACCCTCCTACTTTTAATTCCACAGAGAAAAATAGTATGAAAAGCAACCGGTTTTTTTCTGTTTTCTTGCTGTATTCTGAAATGATATGTTTGGAAAAATGGTCACGGAGAGCATTTGTATCAACCTACATTTGGTTACTGTAGGTATTCACAAATTCTGACAAAGCTCATGTGGATGAAGCTCTGCACAGACTGGGTTTACAAGTTTACCGTGTTCACAAATTACTAGGACATGGCAGTGAGTATTCTTTTCTCTTCTCTATGTGCAAGATGGTAATAGTGAAAGAGCTAGGACTTCAACATAGCACTATGGACAGTGGAGCCAGTATTTTCTTTTCCATTCTTCGTCCATATGTGAGAGTTACACATATTTTAGTTTAAGAGTATAATGTTTGGTGTAGGTTTTCTAATGTGCGTCCTTAAATGATGCAATCCAAATTTAGATCCCCTTATAATATTCAATTATTAAGCCATTGCTAACATGGAGAGCAGTAGAGCTTCCTCATCCTCTGTTCTTTGTTTGACGTCGCTTTAGGAGCTCCTTTTCTGTCTCTGATAGATGTAGTGTCGAGCCATTTGCTATCAAAATCATTGAATGCTACATCACCAAATTATATTTTTCCAGGTGCCAAGATTTATGGTGTTTAAAAAATTAGGCAAATAATAATTTATGTTTTCAGACTTAGGGTAGGAGTTCTGCCTAATCAATTCAATGAGAAGGGAGACTAAAGATTAATTATATTTGAGTTTTACTAGATGGAAAAGAAAAAAAAGCATTGCCAATTTAAATCCCCTATAGGATAATACTATTTGAGTTTTTGGCACTTTCTTGCATATAGGATTAGTACTGTTGCACTAGCATGAAATTTCACAAGTTTATTTTCCCTAGCCTGTCCAATTGCACTGCACTCTTTTGTCATTTCTTTAGAATGGATTTTGTTGGTTGCTTTGAGTA